CGGTTGTAGGTGACTCCGGGTGTAGGTGACTCTAGGTGTAGATGACTCTAGGTGTTGGTGACTCCGGGTGTAGAGGACTCCGGGTGTAGAGGACTCCGGGTGTAGAGGACTACGGGTGTAGAGGACTCCGGGTGTAGAGGACTCCGGGGGTAGGTGACTCCGGGTGTTGGTGACTCCTGGTGTAGGTGACTTCGGGTGTAGCTGACTCTGGGTGTAGGTGACTCCGGGTGTAGGTGACTCCGGGTGTAGGTGACTCTGGGTGTTGGTGACTCTGGGTGTAGGTGACTCCGGGTGTAGGTAATTCCGAGTGTAGGTGACTCCGGGTGTAGGTGACTCCGGATGTAGAGGACTCCGGGTGTAGAGGACTCCGGATGTAGAGGACTCCGGGTGTAGAGGACTCCGGGTGTAGGTGACTCCGGGTGTAGAGGACTCCGGGTGTAGAGGACTCCGGGTGTAGATTACTCCGGGTGTAGGTGACTCCGGGGGTAGGTGACACCCGGAGTCACCTACACATGGAGCCACCTACACTCCGGATGTAGAGGACTCCAGGTGTAGGTGACTCCGGGTGTAGCTGACTCCGGGTGTAGGTGACTCCTGGCGTAGGTGACTCCGGGTGAAGGTGACTCCTGGCGTAGGTGACTCCGGGTGAAGGTGACTCCGGATGTAGCTGACTCTGGGTGTAGGTGACTCCTGGCGTAGGTGACTCCGGGTGTAGGTGACTCCGGGTGTAGGTGACTCTGGGTGTAGGTGACTCCGGGTGTAGGTGATTAGATCACACTATGATACACTCAGCAGATAATCCCATCACATGTGTCCCCTCTCTCCCTATTCATTCATTAAGGCATCGGGGGAGGGGGAGAGAAGGGGAGGGGGAGAGAGGGGGGGTAAAATATCACCTAATGGCAGATGAAGGAATGGGGGGGGGGGCTTCCTGTAGTTTACACATCACCTCAGCCAGAACTTTGGTGTCATTTGTCCATGAAGCTGCCCTGCAGAACCCTCTCCCAGAGGAGAAGGACCCCAGGACTTGCCTGATAGTGTGAGCTACCAAAGACTCCCAGGAGCCCGGGCCACATGCTGCAGAAAGGGAAAGGCTCTTGAGATATGTATTTCTGGGGGTGTGCCTACACGGAGAGGAACCCCCCCTTTCCAGCAGCTGCCCCTCCCAGGTTGAGGACGAGGTGACTGATGGGGCAAATAAATACAGAAATCAGGGACCAGCAACAAACATAGTGTGACCCCCAAACAGTGAGGAAGTCCCCATTCCTGTCATTGCTCCAGACATGGGGGCCCCCAAATAGCAGAGCGTATCTAATGCAGACCTGTACTTGTCTGCCAGGAAAAGAAGTCACACAGGACGACTCTGCTGCAAATTCCAAGCAGCAGAGACGATGACATACAGAGCGGGGTGCTGCATACTGAGGGAAACGTTTGGGGGGCGTCAGGAATCTTCAGACCTAAAATGTGCAATTTAATAAGTTTCCCCCAACACAGGAGGAGAGCTGGCGGCCCCGGCAGGGAAAGGGTTAATACACGGAGCTCTGTGCTGGTCCCTGAAGGGTGTAAGCAGTGACCTCCGCTGGGCCAGTTGTCTCCTTCGATAGCTCAGCTGGTAGAGCGGAGGACTGTAGAGGAACGCCGTGCAGGGATCCTTAGGTCGCTGGTTCAATTCCGGCTCGAAGGAAGTTTTTAGCTTCTACACAAAGCACCTCCCCCGTCTTCTATTATCTCCGCCCATCATCATTATATCTCCGCCCATCGTCATTATGTCTCCGCCCATCGTCATTATAGCTCCGCGCATCAGCATTATATCTCCGCCCATTGTCATTATATCTCCGCCCATCGTCATGATATCTCCGCCCATCAGCATTATATATCCGCCCATTGTCATTATATCTCCGCCCATCATCATCATATCTCCGCCCATCATCATTATATCTCCGCCCATCATCATCCTCCGCCCATCAGCATTATATCTCCGCCCATCAGCATTATATCTCCGCCCATCATTATATCGCCGCCCATCATTATTATATCTCCGCCCATCATCATGATATCTCCGCCCATCATCATGATATCTCCGCCCATCGTCATTATATCTCCACCCATCGTCATTATATCTCCGCCCATCCTCGTTATATCTCCGCCCATCATCGTTATATATCCGCCCATCATCGTTATATCTCCGCCCATCATCATTATATCTCTGCATATCATTATTATATCTCCGCCCATCATCATTATATCTCCGCCCATCATCATCATATCTCCGCCCATCATCATTATATCTCCGCCCATCATCATCATATCTCCGCCCATCAGCATTATATCTCCGCCCATCAGCATTATATCTCCGCCATCAGCATTATATCTCCGCCCATCAGCATTATATCTCCGCCCATCAGCATTATATCTCCGCCCATCATTATATCGCCGCCCATCATTATTATATCTCCGCCCATCATCATGATATCTCCGCCCATCATCATGATATCTCCGCCCATCGTCATTATATCTCCACCCATCGTCATTATATCTCCGCCCATCCTCGTTATATCTCCGCCCATCATCGTTATATATCCGCCCATCATCGTTATATCTCCGCCCATCATCATTATATCTCTGCATATCATTATTATATCTCCGCCCATCATCATTATATCTCCACCGATCATCATTATATCTCCGCCCATCATCATTATATCTCCGCCCATCATCATTATATCTCCACCCATCAGCATTATATCTCCGCATATCATCATTATAGCTCGGCACATCATCATTATAGCTCCGCCCATCTTCCTTTATCCCCGCCCATCGTCATTATATCTCCGCCCATGGTCAAAGGCAGTAGATAGGAAAGAGGGAGTGGGTCTGGGTGGGGCCCGACATACCCTTCATGGGTCCTAGTTTCCTGAGAGAGTGGGGGAGGAAATGGCGCAGAGGTTCTGTAGCACCACCATGGCCCCCCGGTGGCCTTGCATTCCTTCAGTGAGGCTGTGGGGTCCTCCGGCAAGTAGATGTCCTGGACCTTGGCAAGCCATAACTGGACTGTGGGAGGCTGGGGGGTCCCACCCCTTCAGGGGTACACAGGCTCTGGCAGCATTGACCACACAGTGTGTTAATGAGTGTCTATACCTGGAGATCGGACGTTGGGTCAGATGTACCCGATGCCCCTCCCACATCCGGGATCCAGCTATTCATTGTATGGAGCACCCCCGGGGGCCCTATGCCGTCTCGTACCCCCGACTCTTGGCTTTGTAATTTGGAAGCACTAAGGAGGGCGCATGCGAGCGTTGTCAGACCCCCGGGGGAGAAATCAGGGCCCCCGAGGACAGGTGTCAGAGGCGAGGGGGGGCCCCGGATACCTTACGCGGGGCACTCTCAGGGTTGTAGACACCAGTGGGTGAGATTGGACCTCCAAGACAGTCGGCGACTTCTGCGCGCTTCGGCATGCGCCGACCCCGCCCTGTCATGTGACGCGGCCGACCACTTCCTGGCTGAGTTGCTGTTGTTCCCGGTTGCTTCCGCTTTGTTATAATCCCAGTAACAGGCGACCGCGGCGGAATATTTAGTAGCCGGGAAATGTCACGGACGGACTTATTGCGCAGGTGACAACCTATCAGGGCACCGCGCTTGTAGTCACCGAGCTCCTGAGAGCGAATCGTTCTCTCACCGATGTCTGTAGAAGCGTCTGCACGCCGAGGTGCCTCGTCCTATACACCGGGGGCCACGGAGGGGATTGGAGGACCTGGGGGGAGGGGCCAATACTTTAGTATATAGTGAATGTCCTATAGAGCTCCAACATCTGGACACTGAAGGACCTTCCGTCACGCTCCTCGTACAATACACCCCAAAGCCCTTCATAGGAGGCGGGGAAATGTCGGGTGGGATAGTTGTCAATGTGCCGCCATTACGCCCAGACTAGGGGCCCCAGGGGCAGGCATAGATCTAGGGCCACATCAAAGACATGCAGGAGCCATGACGTTACAAAGGCTTCAGGGCAGGAATGTGTCCCGGCGGGTTCTCATTATCACAGAGCGTGACGCTTGTTGGATTTCCTTCGATAGTACAGTTTGTAGAGCCGGTGACCGCGGCGGAGCACCGCGCAGGAGTCCTCGGGGTCGCGGGTTCCATTCTGTACCGAAGGAAATCCTTTTTTTTTAAATCTGAAGTAAAGATGAGACTCCCAAAATCACAACACGGAGAGGTCACGTCTGTACATGACCTCTGACCCCCTCCTCCTCTGCAGAGAGACCACTGCTTCCACACACAGAGCCAGACTCCTCCTCTGCAGAGAGACCACTGCTTCCACACACAATGTAAATAAAGTGACAGCGTTGAACCAGCGTGATACTTCTTGGCTGCGCTGCCTCACCGACGTCACATGACCAGAATTTATTATTTATAAAGAAAACATTCAAATTCGAAAAGAAGGAATTGTCCGTCCTCCCGAGATGTGCGGGAAATGTTCACAACTTCCACCATGAAAGGGACATCACGCTTCCAGATCTCCGGAGAGGACAGTGTGGGAGCTTCTCAACGTTCCTCAAAATCCTTCTGGAAGGACAATGCCCCCCAC